GTACAGTTCGATGAATTTTGAGAAGTGTGGTTAGGTAGCTACCACCACATTCCTGATATAGAACATTTCCGTCACCCCAAAAAGGTCCCTCCAGTCCCTTTGTAGTCAGTCCCCTCCTCCTGCCACCAGCCCCTGGCAATCACGAGTCTGATTTATGTTCCTATAGAATGTCTTATGAGTGAAGCCATGTGGCCTTTTTGCGTCTGACTTTTTTCACTTAGCATACATTTTTGAGTTTATGCTATTACCCATGCTGTTGCATCTGTTAGTATAGTTGAGTCTTCATATCTGCAGGTTCCCTATGCACAGATTCAACCAACCACAGATGGAGAGTACTCAGAAAAAATATATATATTTTTTGAGTTGGAGTCTCACTGTTGCCCAGGCTGGAGTGCAGTGGCATGCTCACAGCCACCACAGCCTTGACCTTCTGGACTCAGGGGATCCTTCCATCTCAGCCTTCCAAGTAGCTGGACTCACAGGCACATGCCCCCACACCTGGCAAATTTTTTTGATTTATTGTAGAGACGAGGTCTCACCAGGTGGCCCAGGCTGGTCTTGAACCCCTGAGTTCAGGCAATCCTCTCGCCTCTGCCTCCCAAATGCTGTTCAAATCTATTCCCACATTTTAGTTGGATATTTATTTTCTAGTTATAGAGCTTTTCCTTTAATCCCATGAGAGGCTAATTATTATTGAGTTTTAAGAGTGCTGGGATTACAGGCATGAGCCACCAATACAACAATAGAAATGTAATTTTTAAACTATAGTGTAACAACTTTGTGCATGGCACTTACACCCTACCAGGTATTTTAAGTAATCTCGAGATGCCTTAAAGTATGCCAGAGTTTCTATGCAAATATTACGCCATCTTATACAAGGGACTTCAGCAGCTGCAGATTTTGGTATGTGGGCGGGGGAGTGCTAGAATCAGTGCCCCGCAGAGGACAGCTGTAGCTCATTCCTTTTTATTGCTGAGTAGTATTCCAGTGGTGTGGCTCTATCCAATTGTCCACTCATCAGTTTACAGACATTTGGGTTGTTTCCAATTTGTTGGCAGTTGTGAATAAAACTGAAAATACTCATGTGTTTTCATTTCTTTGGAGTAAGTACTGAGGGATGGCTGCATCATGTGCTAAGTGCATGTTTAATGTTCTGAGAAGTGGCCAAACTCTTTACTAAAGTGGCCCAACCGTGTTTGATTCCCACTGGCAATGTATGAGAGTTGTGAGTGCTCCACATCTTCAGCAGAGTCTTATATTTCAATTTTTAAAAAATGTCAGCCTTCCTACCGTTAGGTGTGTAGTGGAATCTCATTGTGGTTTGAATTTGCATCTTTTTAATAGCTGATAGTGTTGAACGTCTGTTCATGTGCAGATGTCTTCTTTACTGAATTGTCTATTCAAATCTATTCCCACATTTTAGTTGGATATTTGTTTTCTAGTTCTAGAGCTTTTCCTCTAATCCCATGAGAGGCTAATTATCATTGAGTTTTAAGAGTGCTTTATGCCTTCTGGATGCACATCCTTTCAGATAGGTGTTTAGCAAATATCTTCTCTCAAGCTGTGGTTTATCTTTTCATTTTGTTAAAAGTGTTTTCTGAGTCGGGCTCAGTGGCTCAGCCTGTAATCCCGTGCCTTTGGGAGACTGAGGTGAGTGGATTGCCTGAGCCCGCG